AAGGTCTGGTTTCTTAGGACAAGCGCCTTATCTGGGCGTCAGCGGGACGTCAACGTCACGCTGACGCCAACAAAATACTGGTTTGTTAGCTCAAGGCCTGGTTTCTTAGAACTAGCGCCTTATCTGGGCGTCAGCGGAAAGTTGACGTAGAGCTGACGCCAAAAAAATACTTTTTTGTTAGCTCAGCGTGAGCAGTCGGTCCAACGCAGACATTATCTCTCATTGCGCATGCGTTAATAACGTAAACAAATATTTATTTATAACGAATGCTTAATATAACGAATGCTGTCTTTTATAAAAGGGTGAGTTTTATGAAAATTTACAAACCTGCATATTGTAAAATTATGCAAGAATTTAGTGTCTAATAAAAATCTATGGGCAACAGTTTTGTTGGATCTAATGTCTCTCTTCGAATCTTGTCTGACGTGTATCAATGCACGATGTGAATTTGTTTTCCTTTTTCTTTCCTTTTTTACAGTGTAGAAAAGCAAAACGGACCACCCTGATCAACTTTTGGTCTAATGATTGAATCTTCAGGTTCTAAGACTCAATCTTAATGGCTCGAAATGGTGACTTAAAATATGGTAATTAATAAGTGCAGACGATATTTTAAGATTCGAAATCAGAAACAAAAGCGTATTTTCTCTGAATAAACATGCCTTTTTTTTCTCAATGGATTTGGATTTTTGACTATCAAAATAAAGGGTGTATCCCTAACCTTGGAAATATGGTCCCCATAGTTTGGTCAGGAGAACGATTCAAAGTTTGGACCCCTTAAAGTTAATTTTTCTTAATGCCTATTCCGCCATATCTCGAGAAATGTTTGAGAGAATTAAAAAAAAAAATTTGCAAGCAGTTATATAATTCGCTTATCCAAATATAATTCAATATTAAAAAATAACTTTTAGCAACTATTTATTATTTATTACTTTATTTAAGAATCTAATATAGATAATTCTCTTATGTGGCTCCCAAATTTTGGCTGTATTTCTTTTCCGCCGGTGGCAACGTTTGCTTTGTTTTGTTTACGTTACTATTTCTCTTACACGGCGAATCGACCAATGAGTGCCGCTAAAAATGTCACATGCCAAATCTAGCTGAGGTGGCTCAACATATAGCGCTTTAAAAAACGGAAACTGAAATAACCAGAGAGCATCAGCTGCGGTTATTTTGAACGTTCGAAACACATCAATTTTTCCATCCTTATAATTTATATTGAGAAGCTAATTTGAGTAAACATTTAACACAATACACACAGCATTTTACGCACTACACTACACAGCTAAACACTTTACATTTAAACATGCACCATATTTTGTTTGCCCCATTGAACTGTTCTTAATGACTAATACATTATTTAGGTAGGATTCCAAATGAAGTTCTTTAATTTTCTTAAATCAAGTTTAGAAAGCTTCATAAAAATCAAACTAATCGGGAGTACAGCATTAAAAACATGTTTTCAAAATGTTATTCATAACTTCAAAATTAAGAAAAGCAATCTCTTTAAACTAATTTTTAATTTTAAAAAGTGCATTTAAGAAAAATATTTGCTCTTTAAATTTTTTTATGAACTAAATCACATCTTAATTTACTCGTTTCTTGAAAAAGTCTTAACATTTTAATTTTGACAGTTTTACGCCACTTTGAAATACATTAAACAAAGTAGCATCAAATTTCAACTTTTATAAACATTAAGACAGTCTTCACGTCAGACGCTGATGTCATTAATCAGTCTGGTTCGTCGTCTGAATCGTAGCTCTTTTCCGTTGAAATGTGTCTACGTTCGAAAAAGCAATCGATTCTACAAGTTATTCAATTACTTTCAACTCTTTCAAAATAAATCCTGAGATTTGAATGGTGATTGTTTGGATTGAATTTAAGAACCTAAGAGATGATATATATAAAAATCTCCCTTCGTAAAAAAGGCATACGTATAACTATAAGAATATTATAACGTTAGTTTATTTAAAGAATATATATATATACAATGTCTGTT